AAAGGTAACTGGGTTCACTGATTCTTAACAGGGGAATGCTGGTGGTTGAAGAAGAGGGCAGACAGATGAGTGAAGGGCCACAACAGGCACAGCAGACTGGGTGAGCAGGCATCACTGGCAAAGGAGTCTGTTGCCGACCGCTAGTGTAGGTTATTACAGGACCTAGATGAAGATGCTGCTACAGAGCCTGTTTATACATTTCTTTTTAATAACGAACATATTGTGTTTCCCAATCACACCAAACTCCACTTCCGATGACCACTAAAAATACACGTCAAGCAGGACAACGATTAGATCAATGATTTGCAATACAGTCAGGAATGAAGGGAGGAAGTGGGACACAGGTGCAGACCCAGGGGTGTCTCTAAGCTATCCCAGGGGGATAACCACAAAAATCGCAGTAGCGATAGATTGGAAATGGGGGAAAACAAAACAAGGAAATTGTATAGAGCCACTACAGGCTTCCTTAAAGAAACAATGCACCACAAATGATTAACAAAACCACCACTGCCAAGCAGCTGACTAAAACCTAAAATTGTCCAGGAGACCCAGAAAACTCTGAATGAAAGGCAAAGGCTGGAGTCACAGCAAACTCTTCAGCACCAACTTATTCACCGGGAAAACTACAGGCAAAATTCTTAGTGGTGTGTTTTCAGACACACCGACAACGGGGAGAAGCTCTCACTGCCTCTGAAGGTGAGACAATGAGTCAGCACACGGCGCTGGAGACTCAGGGTATATGAAGGCTCCCAACACCTGGGCTCAATCACCGCCATCAGTGCCACACACACCTGATTGCAGTGAGTTGATTCTTTCACCACTCTCAGAGCAAGATTGAGTGACCTCACACAATACATACGTTCCACATAATGACTGACTGACAGACAAATTATGGAATTTGGGGTAGATTTCTAACTGAGCAAGAAGTTAAATGAACACTTACAAAAAAGCTTTATCATCCTTGTTACTTTGATCAAGGCAGATAAATGTAATATCTCTACAGTAAAAGGCAAATCTGTAAAAATTTTAATGTCTTTCCACAATCTTTATGTAAATTCACAGTCTCAGACTTTACAGAAAGATAATCTACATCAATGTCACTCTTTAAGTTATGTGAGAAGATTGACAGGATAAAATATAGAGATCAACTTAAAAGAGACTTATTTCCTTTTATCTCTTCAAATATATTTTTTAAGTGTGCCATGGGAGCAGAAGTTAAGAGCTAATTCTGGAGTTCATACCTTCATAGAGGGAAAGCAAGGGCATCTCCTCACTGGGCCTCCGACAGACTGACACTCATCATGTTTCCTGCAGTCAGCAGGAATAAGTCTTTGAAAAAAAAAAACAGTGGGAGGATCGAGCTGAAAAAGTGCCATTTGTGTCTGGCCAAGGGCAAGTGAATTGAAGCTGCAGCCGTGGCCTCTTCAATATCCTGCAAAAAGCATATTGCTCAGTCACAGCAGGCAGCAACAATTCATTACTGGCTGTGGAGGAAAAGGGATGAATTGAAGTCAATTTTATTTTTCAGCTCTTTTAGAGCCCCGGGTTACTATTCTTTAGCTATTACGATGTCAAAAAGCTTAATTTTGGTTGGGTCTTAATTTCCTTTGTCGGAAACAGTCATCACTTAATATTCTTTTTGTTACATTGAGCCACACTTCACCCACTTCTCTACTTTTCACTAACATTCCAAGTCTTTAAAATGTTTTTAATTCCATTCATTTATGCAAAGCATACAAATCATTAAATGTATAGAACAAAATGAAGCTAAACTGTCTTAATTGGTGGTCACAGCATAGCTGGAAAAAAACACCTCCTCCATGTTAGCAGATGGTACATCGACCAAACTGATAAAGTCATAATACACGTCGTAAATGTATTCGCAAAGATGGCATTTTAAGTAGTGCATCCTAGATACAGACGCTGCCATTTTGTGTATTTGGAGCCAGAGTTTGTGCAGTAGTGATCAGGGGATGGAGCCACGTTAGCCAGGCCCCTGTGATACACGTTTGACTAATCATTAGTTAGTCTCAGCTGTCAATCATGACGTTTCCCCCTGTGTATATAACATTACATAACTAGAAATAAATAAATAGCAAACATCAGTGGRATAAGAACTACCTAAATGACATTAGTTGTATTTAGATTTTTTAGATTTGGTCACATCGTGGAGGAGGCAGCCACCCTCCAGGTAGCGATGGAGATGCTTTGGCTTCACTTTTGGGGGGGAGCTGTCATCTATCTTCATACACAGTCTATATTCTTAACAAGTTGACTGTATAGACCTCTGCTCACTCACACACGTCTGTGTTTTTTTACAGCTGACTCCACATGTGGATCAATTTGTTGAGTTACTCCTTTGCCATCTCATCACGCGCCCTCTGTCAGCCGCTGAGGTAACTAACACCCTGTAGTTCAAGTAGCAAAAACCTAGCGATGCATTCACCTGTGAGCATATGTTACTGCTCTGATGAAGACTGTGTCGCTCACTWATCACACACCACAATGGTTCACACTGGGCTGTCCTACATTCAGTGTTTCTTGATTAAGAGCTGCGTGCGTTAATTCAGTGTACACTCACACTGATGCATATCTACATGTGAGAAGGTCCCCATGCCTGATGAGCTGCTACATTACTTTGTATCTTAATTGTGTCTTTGTGGGAGTTTAAGCTTGGATTATAACAATCT